TGGCAAAACTATTGGGATTTGGGATTTGGGATTTGGGACGAATTTTATTATATTTGGGATGGGATTTGGGCTTTGGGATTTGGGATTTGGGACAATTTTAATATTTGGGATTTGGGATTTGGGTGGGATTTTAAGATTTTTAGTTTTGCCAACATGTATAGACCTGACGGATATTTTTAAAGATCCAGATCCTGTCCGAAGAACGAATCGGATCAAAAACTTGGATTCGGTCCGGTACTTCTGAACATTTTGACCAATCAGAAAAGCTAGCTTATAACTTTGAAATGGACCGGGTGGACCCGGTCCGCTCACTGTTCCGGGGCTGGCGGGCGGACCGGATCTTTTGCGGAACACTAGTTCCAGATACCTAAACAAGTATCTGACATATTTTAGACTGGCACAGTATGCTATTTTTGTCTCGTGTATGGCATTATAAAAATTTTTGATTAGGCACAAGGCAATTGCCGGTAGAGTGTCCAGAATTCTGCGGTGCATAAATTTATTTTTTTGTCTCCGTAAGATAAACGTGAATTTAATTATTTTTTAAATCCAAATACAATACAAAAAAATATTTTTAGAGCGAGCAGATTTATGCACCGCAGAATTCTGGATACTCTAATGTAGAGTATCAATGAGTGAATTAGGTTTATAGATGCAGACTTATTTTAAGTCACTAGATATGGCTCAATTGTGTTTGATTTTATATAAACTGGTTTTTTTATATATAGGAAGTAATTAGATGATGTCATAAGTCGGCATCTATAGATAGGTTCATGCTTTTGCGATGTTAATAATGGGTGGTTTCATGATCTTCTTAACTACAATTAAAATATTAAAAATTCTTTTCAAAAAAATCCTTCAAAAATTCTGAATTTTTAAAATTATATTTTTAAAAAAATTATAAAATATTTAGTGAAAAATATTTTAAATAATTTAATAAAAAAAATTTTTGAGTCTGTATTTTTATAATTTTATTTTTTGTTAATGATACGTACCAATTTTTTTAACAAATTTTATTATATTTAAATTAACATTTTTTTAACCATTTTTTTCATTTAGATATTATAGAATATATACATAAATTTAAAGTTTTGTAAAAAGGTTTATTCGTAACAAATAATTGTTATCAAATTGTTATAATTTTCCGCCATTACTATAAGTTTTATAAATCCCTGATCATTAAAATTTTCTTGCGAGACATAACATCGTATAATCATTCTTAGAATTTTAAATGTCAGGTAATTTTTTTATTATTAATAAAAAAAAAAATTAGAAATTTGATTTTTCTCAAAACTTTAAGAACACATCAGATTTGATTTCATTCATTGATAGGATTAATTCGTGCGATTATATCATACGTGGGCTCACCTCCCTAGTCATGAACATATAAAATTGTTGGATAAAAATTTTTATTCATTTAATCAAATTATTCGATTAAATTCGAATAAATTAAATTTAATTGATTAAAAATACTATTCTGGGATTTCTTCTGGAACAGTTGACGATTGTTAAAATTAATAATATTAAAATTATGCAAAGTTTTCAACCCAACAATTTAGGAATTAAATCTATTTCCAGGTTTTTACTCCCACGCACTCATTTAGTATCAATATTTAGCTACAATATTACGTATTTGCACCGTGACTATGGTATCCATTATTTGGTCATTTGATTCAAGAAAATCGGGTTATTATATGCATGTTGGACTGATCAAAACAATGACAGATATATATTAAAATAAAGTTTGCATATTAAATAATTCCAAGTATTGGACCCGGGCTGTTATACGTTACATAACTGTATGAGGGTAGTAATACAGTATTTGGCATCACATGGATATGCATTATATTTGAAACAAAAAGAACAAAAAGGTTTCTTATCAACATCTAACGCCTTTACAATCGTCGTTTTATGCAAAATACCAAATCTTAACGATAAAGGTAAATCTGAATCATCACCTTTGTTAACTTTTTATACTAGAATATACAGTACATGCAGTATATATATATATATGTATATATATATAATTCTTTTTTTCTTTTTTAAAAAAAAGCTTTACGAGTTAAATTTTTATTCTAAAGGTTATTATTTTTGTTTTGTTATATTCGTTATTCTTTAATGTATGTTTAATACTTTTTGCTTTTTGTTTTTTTTTTAGATGAGTAGCGCACACTCAGATCCCAAAAAAATTGACGAGCCTGTTTCTCTAAAAACAATTTTTCAGACACTCCTTACAGCGGTTAGTTTTAGTGTTTTTATTCTTCTTTTATTAAAATTTTTGCTAATAAATAAAACCTTTTTAGTCCTTAAATCCTGCATATAGTGGTATCGTTTCTTTGCGAGAACTTTGCTTATATTTTCCAAAGTTAATTAAACAGGCCGTTAGTATTATTATTATAATTATTACGTATTGTTATTATTACATTTATTTAGAACTTTTGATTTGCTAGGTTGGAAGCCATTTCACTGTAGATGTCAAGTTTTTATCCATCAACATTCAAATAGACCCTATAGTCGAAGTTGATGATGCCAATGTTAGATTGGAATTTAAATCCATTGAAGTTGATGACAACAACAAACCAGGTGATGGCAAGAAACTAGGTAATGGCAAGAAAACAACTGAGCAAAAAGACGAACAAGGACACTTCAATGACCAACAAGAAGAACAAGGATACTGCAATGACCAACAAGAAGACACAAGCAATAATTTTGACTAAATATTCCGATTATACATAAACTCAAAATTCTGATTCAACAAGAAAACTTCATATAATATGATATCAAATCTCACCCAGTCCTATTATCATGTTAATTATATATTTATATCATGTTAATAATTATAAATTTATTAAAAAAAAGAAAGGTTAATTCGATAGTAAATAAGTCTACTTAATTGCTGTTATATACATATATTACAATGCAAAAAAAATAAAATAAAAACAGCAAAGCTGCGGTGTTTGTAGTTAATTGATTGGCACTGGCAAGCAGTTTGTCAGCAAACCTAACAAGTCGACCTAGTTTCGACCGTAATAAAATGTATCTTACGAAATATTTGTCAAAAAATTAACTTAATATTTTAAAAAAAGTTAATATTTGTTAAAAATATATTACTAAAGTTATTTTTATAATTAAAGCTCAGAATTAATCATAACAATGATAAAGTGCTGCCTATAAAAAAAGGTGTAGCTAAATCTTCGTTTTTCATTCGTTACGTAGTACAGAATATAGATGTGATAAGAAACTTATTGTAAGAATGGCCAATTCGGTTTTATTATAAAGATGGGTTGACAGTGTGCAGGAGAGTTTTACTGGGATGTGTGGGGAATTTTTTTTTTTTTGGATGCGCGGGGTTTTGACTTTTTTTTAGTAAGCTTTTTAAAAACAAACGTTACACGAAGGTTAACTATTTTTAAAAGGCTGGTCTCAAAATTAAAGATAAATATCTCACAACAGTCGTTTTAATAAAAATTGATTTTTACCTGCTCATGTCAAGCCAACGTTATTCGAACGGCACAGTGCAAAAGCTTCTGTACAACGACTTCTTTTCAGTACTGCAGTACCAATAAATACCAAGAGTTAAAAATTATGTTATTCAAAATCGAACCATCCAAACTATGCCAAAGTTGGCCAAATAGGGTAGCACAAAGTACGAGTGATTTTTTAGTGGGTTAAAGTAATTAGCGTTAGCAGTATCTTATGATTCTAATATAGATACAGAGCATGTTATAAAATAATAACAATTTGTCCAAATTTCCAAATTTTAACGTTAAAATTTTTTATTCAGCCGCTGCCAGGTGCTTAATAAAAATAAGTGCATATTGATGTTAGATTATTATATACATACAATTCTTTAAAAAAACAAATAGTTTATTGTCATCGTTTTGCACATGTTACGAGTCAAGTTGGTTTTTAGGTTGAGTTAAACTTGACCCGAGTCAAAATGACCCCCAGCAGAATTTTAGGGTTAGTGCGGGCCAGAATTATGTTGATGTCGGCCGGGTTTTTTCATTGATTAATTTGATCCGGGTCAACCTAAAACCAATTTACCTCGTAACATACATATACAATTGAGTATGTGATGTCAATAACAATATGATTACGTACAATATATATATATATATATATATATATATGTATTAAAATTTGCGAAATTTTTATATAATTTTTAAAATTATTAATGTAATACTGTAATACTATAGCAACAGAGTTTTTCGGTTAGTCAGTAGCATCCTGGACACTCCAACCCGGAAATTTGTGATCTCTCTGTATGATTTCCTATCATAGAATTCACTGTTGGCACAGCCAAGAAATAATATCTTAAATTTTATTGCATAAATATAAGATCAAGGTATGTAGCTCTCTGAGACAGAATGTATCCTTTCTTGGATCAAGTTTTTTTAAATCCATATATTTAGTAAAGATATAAATTTATTCATAAAATAAAATTTAAAAAATACGTAAATCCGGCTTTTTATTAAATTTCTAAAAAAGGAATCATCTAAAGCCTTGTACTATTTATATATATCATTCACGTGCTCCTTAATTTATTAAGACTGGGTAAGTTGTTTAGGATCTTGTTCGTGATCTTTGTGTTTTTCGTCAATTGTCTCTCTTTTTTGCTTGCTAGACATACTGAAAAGTGGGAATTTTCCTCCCAGTAAGGCAATATCTAAAAAAAAGCAAAATTTTAATGAATGATCCGAGAAATTTTTTAAAAAGTGACTAGAGAATTTTTATATTAAATTACCAAAGTAAGATGAATTTGATTTATTTTTCTTTTCGAACTCTAACTCTTGTTGTATCATTTTTGTCTTTGCCATATTGTCATCATCATCATTGTCGATTTTTTTTCCTACAGTTGTAAATGTGGCTTTTTTGACTTCGGTATCAGGCTTCACTTTAATATTAATAGACATGATTTTAAAGTCAAACATGACGCCAATTCTGAGATTAAGTATCTAATAAAAATAAATAAATCAACGGTAAATACGATGCAACGTACAAAAAAAAAGAACAGAAAAGAAAAGAAGAAAGAAAAAAAAAGGCAGTAAACAAAATACCAATAGGAACAGAGATTGAAAACCTAAGAAAATAAGGTGCATGAAAATAATAAAGCAATATACGGGACATAAGGCCTATCAAAGAAAAAAAAAGCTTAATAACTTCATCAACGAAAAAATAACAATCAATGAACTACTTGCAACTGAAACTAACTATTGTGAGGCCACATTGAACGAAAAATACAAACAAGTGAAAACGGGGTGAATTTGGGTCTAATTTTTGATTGTCCATCTAAAAAACAAAAAAGGATTAAAATAAGATGCAATAAACAAGATAAAGTAAAATAATTAAAAAAATAACTAACCGTTAAAAAGTTGTTAAAAATTTTTTTTTTTAGATATAAATAATATTTTATAAGTACGAATAATTTGTTCAAAGAATTCTGAATAACTTTGTTTATACAAGACGTTGATATATATATGACATGTAAAGACAAAGATGATAATGATGAAAATTAATCTTTAATTGTTAATTTAACTAGACTCGACTCCTAATTCTCTGCTCTGCATGAAATACGTAATACAAACTTAAAATTCTACTTGGGTTTCAGATTCATATAGTTTTGATCACATGATATCAAATTACATTCAAAATTGTGTGCCCCTTCTATAAACATTCAAGCTTCTTTAGAGATTATGTGATTGCGATTGCTATAGATCTATAGATCATTTCCCTGACACTGATTCTTATCCACTAACCATAAATTAAACAGAACTAACTCTAAATCATACCAACCTTATAAGCGCAATCGCAATCACACAACCATTATTAACAAAATTAAAATGTCACAGGCAAAGCACGATAAATATCACATGTCAAAGATATACATACGTACCAGATACACACTGAACTTATGTAGTACACCAAATTATCGTTATCGTTATCGTCATGTTTGTTTTTGTATTACACATAGATTAGCTTGAATCATATGTTAGCGTTAATACCCTACTATGATTTACGTACTGAAAACTATAAAATTTTCTGCTAGCTCTGATCATTTATAATCTTGGCTAATTCCTGTATAACTTCAAGCATCAGTTTATAGAATCGATTTTCAGGTATCAGCAAGTTCTTTGTCTTTTTTTTTCACTTATCGTGTAAGTGAAAATAATAAGTGATATAAAAGGGCTGCCACATAATCCGGCCACTGTTCTAATACGTAATGTAGGTTGAAATTCGATAATGAATTAGGCGTGAGAATTAACATAGTATATACTGTAGTAACTATATCTTGTAGGGATGAATGCTGTACAGATTAGTGCATGATCCCGTGCAAAAATTCTTAATTTGTCCTCTAACGCTAAGCAGAAACCTTTTCGTCGATTTTGTGGAGTTAATACGCTATTCATGGATGAGTGCTGCATTATCCTGTGCAAAAATTCTTAATTTGTCCTCTAACGCTAAGCAGAAAATTTTTCGTCGGTTTTGTTGAGTTAATACGCTATTCATACTTGATCTGTGCAGATAATGTATTATTTAAACCATCCATTATAATATCCAAATTTGTACAATTAAATGAATTTCCTCCAAACGAAGACTAGGCCTTCTGAATAGAATTTCCTATAAAGTAAATTGCTGTAAACAAAATATTATTCCGTATTTAGAGTTCCTAGTTTTCGCTTGTTTACACTTGAATATTTTAAATACAAGATAAATCTATATATATTTTTTAATATCAAATTACTGCAAAAACTTGAAATAACGGATATTGGCGTTCTCTCAAAATTGGTCCTTTAAAAATGACAAATTTGGTTCCAAAAAAAAACAAAATGTCATGAGCGTCCCGAAATAAAGGTATGGCTGAAACGATCCTTGGTTCCGTGATTTCCTAGCACCTTTACGGGAATTGTCACCAGCACTGCAATACGGGACTTAATTTTGCAATACCATAACACTAAACTATAATGATAGTCATGTCGTATCTACGTATAAGATTAATGTGGCCATGGCTGTATCGATTTTAGCAATTAATCGGTTTTAATTAATATGCAAAACGTAGAGCCATTTTGCATTTCTGACTAGCATTAATATTGGAGATTTAATTAATTTTAACCACATAATTGTTGTATATAGGCTTGGAAAATTAGGATTACGCAGGTCAGTACACAAAATTAGTAGTTTTATATTGGTTATAGTTTTTATTTGTAAATATAAAATATTGATTATTATACAAAGTTATACAGTATTCTTATTATGTTTTAAACGATTTAAAGGTTAATTTAAACCTGTTTTTGTATAGTTCTTGTACGTACATACATACGTATTCATGCTTTGATTTCATATTTGGGCTTATTTAAAATAATTAAAATGTTTTAATTGGTTAATTTCTTCTATGTTATTGCAAAGTATCTAAATCGTATTTGACACAATTACTTGACAAGAAATTACGTATTTTCTAATTATAGGTTTAAATTCATTATTCAACTTTTTAATAATATAATTTTTTATATAGTCTGATAAGATACTTATACAATAATACGTAGATAAAATACTGATCAGTAGAAAACATCCATTTTTTCAAAAGCGCAAATTTGAAGATTACATAATCAATTATGATTGGTTAATTCATGATTGGCTAATAAAATATATAGATATCTTTTTTAAATTTTAAATATCAAATTTTTAACTTTTAAAATCTATTCTAACAGAGCTGTAGTTTGGATAAAAGGCAACAAATCTGTCAAAATATTTTATTTTTGAATTATAAAACTTTTTATACAGCATAGATACACGTAAATATTGTATATTTTTGTTGCCCGAACCGTAAAAATATTTTACAAATTACTATATGGGATCTTTGCTAGGATTTTTTTTCTAAAAATAGGTTTATTATGTTTTTCTTAATAAAAATCTTGTGTAACAATGGCTTGTAGGGTCATTTTGCTAGCAAAGATCCCATAGTAAAATTATATTACATTAATAATAATAAAATTTTATAAATTGTACGATTCAAAAATTTGTATAAAATTTTTGCTATTAAGTTTTTTAAATTTTATATATTTTTTTAAAAAAAATTACTTATAATTTGATAAATAAATTACAAATATTATAATAAAATTATTATTCTTTATATAAACCATATTATATTGAAAATAAAGTTAAAACTGAAAATTACTTATTTTTAGCTTATAACTAATTTAATCTTTTTATCTCTTAATCTATATAATATAAAATTTATCTATTTTTTTAAACCTCTAAATTTTAAAAAGATTTTTTTATAATTTAAAAGACGTATTGCTTTATTAATTTTATTAAGCAAAATTTTTAAATCTTATATAAATTTCTAAAGAATATAGGAGGGAAATTAAATTTTTAAATCACACATTGGCATATTTAAAATCATACGAATTTTATTATACAAGTGAGATAACCTAAAAAGCACGGTTTGTTGCATAGGAACAATTGAATAAATTTTGTTATATGAATCAAATGATACTCTAAAATTAAAGTCAGTATTGCTTTAGTTTTTTTCTAAAAAAAAACAAGATTTAAACCATTTTGCATCCACATTACTAATAAAGTTTGTACAATTCAAAATGAATAGATAATGCTGTTGCCAAGACTTAAAGTCTTATTTATTATAGTATTCATTTACATTGCTTATTTTTTTCGAAAACAATCAATATAAAAAAGGGTTGATTACTTTTTATTTTCGGGGCGAAGTTTCCGAACAATCTTACCAGTTCGCCAAATTTCGCTTTCTCTATAAAACGTTATTTATGACAAAAATCAAAAGATTAAAGGATGATAACTGTATATTATTGAATAAAAAAATTATACAAAAATACCTAATCTCTTTTAATTCTTCTTCCAAATCTTCTGCATATGTAGGCGATGAATTCTTTTCTAACACTCGACGCGTTTCAGATCCATCAGCAACTGCAGAGTACAATCTCTCAAAAACAGGTTTTGTGGCATCATGGAAATGTTTATACCAATCAAGAGCACCACGTCGCGCCGTTGTCGAACAGGCGTCATACATCCTTCAATTTATATTTCATAATAAAATTTAGTTGATAGTATGTTATAAATATATATACAGTATATATATATATATATTTAGTACCAGTCCATTCCATTTTGTCCGATGAGGGGATACAGAGACTGTGTAGCCTCTTCCACAGTTTCATTGAAAGCTTCAGAAGGGGGATGACCACGAGCCCGTAATACCTCATATTGTGCAAGGAACAAACCTTGAATTGCACCCAAAAGTACTCCTCGTTCTCCAACTAGGTCAGCAAAAACTTCTCTTTGGAATGTTGTTTCATATAAGTACGCAGATCCAATAGCTACTCCAAAAGCTACCGCTTTGTCCATAGCTTCTCCAGTTACATCTTGAAATATAGCGACAGATGAATTCATGCCACGTCCATCAAGGAAAAGTGAACGAAGTGTTTTGCCAGAACTCAAATATTCGAATTATTGTAACAAATGAAATGAGATGTTAGAAAATATACATATATATACATTTATTAAATGGCTTACCCTTTTGGCGCTATCATGACTACATCGATATCTGTTGGTGGAATGACATTTGTATACTCCTTATAAATTATCGAAAACCCATGGCAAAAACACAATGTCTTTCCTTTTTTTAAATGTGTGATGAATTGGGGCCAAAGCTCTTTTTGAGCCGCATCAGAAAGGAGATTATTGATAATTGTTCCTTTTGCGAGTGCATCATTAATTGAAAAAAGATCTTTTCCAGGTGTCTTTGATACATATAATTTTAACAATTGAATGAATTATTGATGTCAATTCCAAAAATATAATAGTAGTGGATGTTTAAAAAAAAAAAAAGAATATTAACACACCCAACCATCTTTTATAGCCTCATTCCAACTTTTCCCTCCTTCTCTTACACCAACAATTACGTTTAATCCATTATCTCTTGCATTTAAACTTTGCGCACTTCCTTGTGATCCATATCCAATCATGGCAATAGTATCATTTTTAAACAAATTTTGATATTTTTCTTTTGGCCAATCTGAACTTTCATATACTTTTTCTTTAACACCACAAAAATCAAGCGTTTGAATCTTTCTAATTTGTTTTTGCGGCAGGAAATATTTTGTACAATTATAAATGCCAAACTTTTAAGTTTTTTTTTTTAAAAAAAAACAACAATTAGCTAAAATTCATGATTTACGTAAAAATAAATGACTGAAATTACTTTTGCATTTCGAATTTTAGGTCCTGAATTAGATAATATCGAAAAATGTCTTAAAGTAACTTTCGTATGTCTAAATTGCTGGAACGCGTGAGGCAATGATCGAGCTAATGTAAATGAAGAACTCATAATTTAATTAATTGAGATGAATCAGTAGAGTTGTTAAATGTTTTGTTCCAGAAGTCAAGTATGAATTAGACTCTGTTAATGCAATGCGACGTACGTATGTATGTACGTACGTACGTACGTACGTACGTAAATAGGTGCGTATCGGTAGTACGCTTTAGTATAAATTGAAAACCACTTTTGTTATACTCATTCAATATCATGTGGCTATTGAAGCAAGCTTGGAGTCATCAGCTCGTACAGTAAGATCCCAAAACTCCGAACTGTACTGATGAGATCCGAAATCGCCAATCCGGATAACTGGATCAGCCCGATTCTATGGCAGGACGAAAAATAGTATAGGAGTACGTATAACTATGGGTCGGCCCGGTCCAACGGTCGAGCCGATGGTCGGGTTGACCCTCAGCCTACACTGTTGTCGTCGATAAAAGAAGTGTTAGAATCAATTCTTTTCTAAGGCACGCCTCAGGATTAAATTGACCAAAAATCAGCTAATCGTTTATAATAATGTAGAAGTCGGCTCACTTAGATGGTAAATTAGCAAATAGAGAATATTGTATAATATAAGAAACAGAAATGTTCGGAGGCATAGACAACAAGAATAAAAATCAAGTAATTTAATCTCACTAGGATTCGACAAAAAAATATCTAATGACCTTTTACACGTTAAATATAGATATGTTGACAGATACTGATTAGAAAAAATTACACTAGTAAAAAGGTTGGTCCGGTCGAGCGGCCTGAACTTTTTTAGGATCGATCCCAGACCATGATTTTTCCATCGACCCATATCACTAGAGTATAAGCAGGACCGGGAATAAATATATATTATGGATTTAGCCAAATATGACGGATATCTGTTAAGCGGAAAACAAATACGGTATTCTATCTGATCTTAGATAACGGAGGTCAGATAGGATTCAGACATTCGAATCGCATCACTATAGGATTGGCGATGTTATCATATGAATTACATGACTTATATAACTTGTCATTAGGGTGTCTAAGATTATGCGATGCGAAATTATGCGCATAATTCTGACCATTTTTTCGCATCAAGTATGCTTTGCATCATCACAAAGTCATTTTTATGTAGAATTATGTAGAATTTCTATATATCTTTAAACAAAAACTTATTTAAATAGGGGGCTGGTATTCGTACCCCAAATTTGGTATTATACCCCCACAGAAATTAAAACTTTGAACGAAGATATCTCGACAACCACCTGACTAAATTTGATGATTTTTTTTTTTTTTTAGTTGAGTTCTACAAATCTGTAGAATTCAAATAAAAAAAAATCATCGAATTTTGCCAGGTGGTTGTCGAGTTATCTTCGTTCAAAGTTTTAGAAAAAAATCAAAACGTCTAATCAAAACAAAGCTTTATCAAAAATTTTCTTAAACTTTGAGCAAAGATATCTCGATAATCACCTGGCTAAATTCGATGAAAATTTTTTTATTTAAATTCTAGTGATCTGTAAAATGCAAATAAAAAAAATCCATCGAATTTAGTCAGGTGGTTGTCGAGATATCTTCGTTCAACCATTTTTAAACAAAGTAAAACGTCTATCCAAACAAAGCTGTGCCAAAATTTTCTAAATCCTTGCAAAGATATATCGATAACCACCTGACCAAATTCGATAATTTTTTATTTGAATTCTAGAGATCTGTATAATTCGAATAAAAAAATTTCATTGAATTTGGTCATGTAGTTGTCAAGATATCTTTGTTCAAAGTTTTAGACAAAAATCAAATCATCTATTCTTAAAACAAAGCTATGCCAAAATTTTTCTAAAACTTTGAGTGAAGATATCTTGGTAACCATCTGACTAAATTCAATGAAAAATTTTTATTTGAATTCTACAGATCGATGAAATTTAAATAAAAAAATGTTTATTGAATTTAGTTAGGTGGTTATCAAGATATCTTCACTCAAAATTTTAGAAAAATTTTGGCACAGCTCTGTTTAAAACTTTGAATGAAGATATCTCAACAATCATCTGATCAAATTTGATGAATTTTTTTTATTTGAATTCTACAGATCTGTAGAATAAAAAAATATATTGAATTTAGTCAGGTAGTAGTCAAAATATCTTCATTTGAAGTTTTAAAAATTTTTAATTTCTGTAGAGGCATGAATACCAAATTTGGTATACAAATACCAGCCTGGATGTTCTATAGAATAGGTGAGCAATATAAAAGAAATAAGCTTTGCAAATGATTAGTAATCATTAATTTTTAATATCGGAGTTGCAGAGTTGGTGGAGTTTGCCCACCTATTCTAAAGAACATCCACCAGCCCTCTTAAATATATATATCTTTTTTTAATTACTTTATTAGATTATAAAGTTTAGCTATAGTATATTTATATATTTACAAAATTAATATACTTTGTAATTTTTTTATAAAGTTGGTTTTCTCTCTTTGTATAGTTTCTAGTATCTGTTATCCTTTTCAGTTTCTAGTTATATTCTTAAGTTTTATAAACTTTAACAAAAAATATTGTATATTAGAGTTTGAAAATAGTTTTTAAAATTATAAAATATTTTTATTTAAAGTATCTTATAATTATAGAGTTTAATTAGATTATAGTTATTTAGCTACTTAGCTATAGCTATAGTTAAAGATAGATTTAATTAGATTATAGTTAACTAACCATCTAACTATAGCTATAGTTAATAATAATTAGCTAAAGCAGCTTAGCTAACGGGTTAACCAATGCTAAAGTTTTTTATTTTTTAGCTAATAATTTATAATTATTGCTTAATTTATAAAGTATACAAATTACAAAATTATTTATTTAATTAAATCTGTACAAAAATAAGAAACTATTACTAGCATCTACTCTTATATTTGATTTAGAAAACTAATAATAGGAACTCAATATCTAAAACATATTTAGAATAAGAAAATAGGTGACTGTTATATAAAACAGTACTACTAAAATACTGGCTAAACTATATTTTACAAAACCTAAGCTCTAACTGTTTAGAATATTTATATACAACCCAAACAATAGAATATTTTGCTATCTAATATAACACTAGCCAAATAATCTAAAAACAAAATTATAAAATAATTAAAAACTATATGAAAAATTTACAACAAACTTGTTTAAAGAAATCTTTTTGGCTACCAATATAAAAAATCTTAAAAAAGATTATAAAT